AAAACGGACGGATATTAAAACGTGGGCGAAACTGATGGTGGGTTCATGGCACTTCTTTATTTTGTGTATTTTTTTTGGTATTGTTGGAAAGCAGATGTTTTATATTTCAGTACATTGAAAAAGATGTTTGTGATAAAATAAGTAATGAAACTATTATGCAATGATTTCAGACCATGTCATCTCGTCGTGAATAATTATAATTATAAGGTAACTTTTTTTATGCATTTTTGTTATTTTTTATAAATTATGTCATGTCTTTTGCCCACTCTCAACTATTTTTTTGGTTTCACCCCTGCTCCAGGGGAACAAAAATATGCAGAGTAATAATATTCCGAACTAATTTGTGAAAAGCAGAGTATTGAATACAGAATTACGAAAAGTCGAGCTTAACTTGGAGTGATCGTCTTAGAAGCGGCCATTTTCTGGCGAAGGTTCAAACAAATTATAAAGCAAAAGTCCACCAAATTGATTATAAACGCGACTTCAGAACAGCTCTGTTCCGAACATGTCCTAAAGTCGGGGACATACTGTTGATACTTAATTTGGCATCGACAAATAAAGAAATTATGCGTGGATATTTACTACATTAATTATCTTATTTTTATCTTACTTTTAGTATTAAAGACCAATAATATATCCATTTGTGGTAATATCGGGCCCACAAAAGATAAATATATATAACTCAAAATTTTGAGTTACAATTATTTCCTTCACCATTTTATTGCTCGGTTTACATCCCCGTATTTAAGATCTAGCGTCCATTGATTAATTTAATTACTGACAATATAATTAACCAACTTCTCGAATCCAAAAATAGTACCGCTCAATTCTTTATTATTATGTCAAAAACTAATCCGCCGGTCTGGCTTGACATAATAATCATTCTTGAACTCATTTCGGGGGCGTCATCAACTTTTTCTACCAGACCGTAAATAATATTAAAGATACATCATGCAGCCAATATTACTTAACAAATATCGAGTGTGTCGACACACCAAAATAATTCTCACCCATGATAAATCAAATTAGTAAGTGCTGACTACATATGCCTGCACATAGTCTTACGACTTAAGAATACGCAACAAATAATGATATATAAATTATTACTTGATTAGTATAAAATAATCTTATCCTGTTGTGGGTCATTTAAAACTTTCGATATGTACTAGTGTAATCCATTAGTTTAAGATCACACTACAGTCTTTCACGACAAGGAGTTCAATTCATGTTTAGACTGTGAACCATCATTTGTATTTTACAAGGAACCGATAATTTGATTTTACTGTTCCAGACCTGGAATCATATTATCCACAATGAAAATAAAGAAACAATGCTCGCATAAATAAATTAAGTACGAACATTCACTTAACTAATAACACGAAGCTCATTCAAAATGAAATTATTGAATAACACAATGTCGAGCTTTTACAGTATTACCCCAACAGCTGAGGGCGTCGTCGAGGAGCTGCGGGCGTCGAGTGTGCTCGCTGCGTGTCAGGTTCGCGATCATGACACCTTGTCGCTGTGCGCGCCTATATCACTGAGTACAGGATATTTAGAAAGAATAAGTACGTTTGAATTTCAAATTCTAATTATTTTCTTTTGATATGAACAGCATCCTAATATGTAGGATGTACAAATTTACCATATATTTTTATTGTTCTTCAGTGCAAATCCTGTACTCCTTTCCATGTGCAAATTAAGGGATGGTTACTATCAATTATTTGGTAACTGATATTTCTTCTATCACAAATAAATAAAATTCATCTGGTAAGAACGCAAATAAAAAAACTCACCTCTTGCACAAATGCAATTAATTTAAAATCATGTGGTAACTATAAAATTTCACCTAAACATAATCTATCTTTTATGAGCCAAGATGAATGATTGAAGCGGGATAATGGGCCGACTAAAAACATGAAGGTTAGTCGTTATTCGCATAATCTCACTGTTTTTTCCCCTCCCCAATATATCCTAATCTTTGCGTTCTCTATTCTTTGCACTCTGCAAGTACACACATGGAACTCCCGTCGAGACTGTTGTGAACCCTCTCGAAGATAAGGCTCAGCACATCCTCCCGCAGTTTAATCGGTTACCCACTCCGTCGCATCCCCAATCAAACCCGTGCTTTGCACCATCTCACAAACCCTAACGCCAATCCCAAATTTGTCCTCTTCACTCCCCACAAGATATTCCTCAACGACGTTTTCATATCGGTTCTTTCGGTCGACGGCCGCCCGCGCATCACACCGGAAAAAAATTTCTACTTTGAGCCCCCAGAGTCCGAGCCGTCGTGTCCCTTCGGCATATTGACATCGATAGAGACCTCACCCCGTCTTCTCCCGATTATGGGACTCAACACATTTGTGGTTATGGTCGGCCCAGCAGCTGCCATGGGTTGATCTGTATGCAGGATAGTGCAAATTATTGCGAGGACTCAAATACAGTTGTGGTGTTAAACCCATTAATTAATGAGTTCAAATCTCTCGACTGCTCCCCCATCAGACGGCGTCTCCTCGCTGAATGTAATAGCTTAGTTTGTGCTGGGTTCGGATTCGACACTGTTTCTAAAGACTATAAGGTATTGATGCATGTCGACAACATCTTCAGCCCCAAATACAATCCCGACGATCCCTGTTATGTGGTGTGCTCCCTCAAGACTGGTTCTTGGCGTCCTGTATCTAATAATCCTCAACCTCCGTCAGATGATTCGCCTAGTGTTTACTCAATATTCTGTCACTCTGTTTACATAGATGGGATTAGTTATTCGCTTGCACTAGATCACAAATCCGAGAGTCTTTTCGGCATAGTTTCCTTCGACTTTGCCACTGAAGAATTCTTGTGGTCCAGATGGCGACATGTAAACGACAAGTGTTTTTGGCCTCGTGGGTTTTGTCTGGTAGAATATGAGGGGTTGCTCGGTTGTGTTCTTTTTCATGAGGTGGAAGGCACGACGAAATTCCATTTGTTGGTTAGAGATAATGAGTCGTGGGCTCAGGTAACCAGCTTCTGTGTTCCTGGAGCAGATAGACCAGTGGCGTGCTTAGGTAAAGACAAGTGGTTTTTCAAAGGGAAAAAGGATGAGCTGCTGTTTTTCGATCCAACCGCTGTGGACCCAAAGCCTGTCTGCATTTATGACTTGCCCAATTATGGAGAAATTATTCCTTTTGTGGAAAGCACAATCTGGCCCTGTGCTATAAGGAATAAGCCTGATGGCGAACGATACTGACGTGCGGTTTAACGAGACCTTTTATCTTATCTGCTTTTTTATCCTAATAAAATTTTGATGCAATTTCAAAAAATTAGATTGTTTTAACTCGATATTCTAAAAGTGATTCAGAGTTTATGTATTGGTCTCATTTGATCTTTTGCAGGGAGGCTCTTGATGACGCTGTAGAATATTGCTGAGATATTAACTAATTGATTGATAAAACAAAATGACAGAATGCGTTTAAATCATAATTTACTTCATTTCTGCAGATTACGGCCAGACCGTCTTGTGGAGTCAGATGGATTAGTGTAAGGAGAGTTTTGTGTCTTAACTTCTGTCTATTACTTTGTTCTGAGAAATACCACAACATGTATTTTCGTGGACATCAAGGTTTTGATCCAATCCAACCATTTTCATTTGTATTCTCCGGTGATCATGTGTTGGTGGACTCGATCAGTAAGCACTATTGTCGACCTCAACGAAATTAATAGTTATATCAAAGCTTGGTTTTTAATATTGGCCATCTTATCTAAGAAGTCATTAAAGCTACCATATGTTTAAGTTGTACCTATAGTGGTACAACTTATTCAGTCGCTCCACTTCACTTCATCATCCTTCATTAGGTCGAGCTCGGGTCTGTAGGGTATTTGGGTCGAGCGCAGCAGTCCTTCAACTAGTGCCACCCTGTCCATTGTCCCTAGTTGACCTAATTATTTCAGGGCGCTTGCGTGGTCGAGTTGTATATGTGTTGAGCTATATTACTAACTATATCACCTAGTCCCGTTCGAGATGTGAAGGGACTTGTTAGGCGCATTTAATGTAGATGTGAAAGGATAACTTGGGATTCAAAAAAGGTGTCTCGTATGTTGTGCGATTGGTTAGACTTCTTCGATCAGGTCCCTCGATCTGCCCTTCATCCAACGGCCGAGAGATATCGCGATATAAATACTCGCCATCTTTTTAAGAAAAAAAAAAAAATTCTCCCCACCAGCATCTCTAATCGATTTGTCTTCTTGACCTTACCGTTGACCATCCTTTCTGCTACTCTAGCAACCTTATCGTCTGCAATACCGGCAAGTCGTTTACTTTCCGACCACCTGATTTTTTGGCGGCATGGGTGAGTCCGTGGGCTTCTGCAGACGTGGTCGCTGCATTCTGTGCTGCTTGTCAAATCGACCTGTATACTCTTCCCTCCGAAGGCTTCTATACCTTCTTCATAGATGAGGCCCACTTTAATGAGTCTGCATTTCTCTATCCTGGCCTAGCTAATGACACTTAGAAATTTGTATAGTACGCCCATTAACCAATTTTCCCCAAACGCCATCCGACTTATGACTTCATTCGTTATTACCTCGAGCTGTATGCTAGGAGAATTTCTA